ACCAAACAGGTACCTGAACAACTATAAAATATAGAACTGATATTCAGACAAACCAAAACATCTTAGATTTCCTCATTACTCTGAACGAGATGAAAACAAAATTAAAGACCTTCAAAAGCAGAAAAGCTCGTGGGCCTGATGGATCCTAAACAAAACACTGCACAGAAAACGTTTCTAAAATGATTCAGTCTAACTCTGACTGAGGGATTATTTCCTCAGAGTTGGACCAACGGTCTCATCACACGACAGGTGTGAGCCTCAGATTTACAGAGGGACGTGTGTCAGCAGCTGCGTGGGTGTGAAGCTCTGCAGCATCACCAGCTGAAGGTCAGGTTGGATTCAACCATCACACATCTGGCCACATCTTCAGAGGAGGTAAAACCCATGACAGACGCGCAATTCAAATTGGAAACAAAAGAAGCAGCAACATGAGCCCCGACCCTCTTCGACATACTGTATATATAAGAACGTCTGCAGAACAACTGCAAACATCCACAGCAGCTGGCGAAACTCTGCAGGACTCAGAGGTCAAATGTCTGATGTCTGCTGAACACCTGGTTCTCCTGTCCCCCTCCAGAGAGGGTTCACAGCAGAGCTGGACATCCTCCACAAGTTCAGTCAGACATGGACAGCAACTGTAAATATGGAAAAGACCAAAACACTGACCCATTCAACAACGATCCAGTTCTGTGAAAAATAAATTCACAGAGACTGAGCAGTAATAGATCCAATAATATTAAGTGGTAGTGAAGTCTGGGTCCATCAGCCAGTCGAGATCAAAGTGGGAAAAACATGGAAGCCCTGCAGAGCTGTGCAAACACATACTCAGAGTTCACAGACAGTCAACAGAGCCTGCGGGGCAGAACTTGGCTGATATGCTTGAATAATTAAATGAGTTATTAATTATTAATTAGTTAAGTTATAATTACAATTTAGACACAAGCCATGATATCTTATATACACCTTTAATCAGGGATCTTCAGGACCAAGACTTGAACAAAGATAAGAGTCCTGAGGGTCTGCCCACACACACACACACACACACACACACACACACACCGCCGCTTCAGGACCGACAGCAAACAATTGGAACCAACCGTGTCATCTCAAAACACAAAGAAAATCAGATCAAATATTAGAAGAAAACCACCAGATCACAAAGTAAATCAAAATTGTATTTGACTCTGAACAGGGAGGAGATGGTGGCAGAGGACCTGACCACTGTGACTGACAGAAAACTGAGGAAAACTCTGACGATGTACAGACTGGACACAGCTAGGCCATAAATATAAATATAAGCAACTATATAATAAGGAAATGTAAGAAATATAAGGAAATGAGAGAAAAATGAACAAATATGTATCGTGAGTTTATCCTTACGTGTGGGAGAAAAGACGTATTAGCTGTAAAACATATTGACTGTTGTCAAACACTAAGAGAGACAAGCTCTGTAGTAACTGGATAACAGTATTACAGCTGCCCATGTTATTCTATCTAGACTTGTTCCTTCCAAACATCATGGACAACCTTTCTGTCCAGTGTGGTCATCAGCTGAATTGAATGTAATTGTTGTTTAATGCTTTTTATTACATTGAATTGTTATAATTAATAATATTAATCAATATATTTGCTTATAATTGTATATTTATTGCTAATCCTCAATTTCAATATCAATTTGAATCATTTTCTGCTCTGTTTTGACATTAAAGCTCTCTGCCCTGTCATACCATTAGAGCTTCTTTGAACAGTGGAGATCAGCCCGGTGGAGCAGGCTCCTGTGCGGCCCTCATCTCGCTCTCGTCTGCCTCCCACCACCGCTGAGAGGGGCGGGTTCACCAACCTGCTTAACGTTAATGTGTTTGTATCTTTATGAGGCAGCAGCAGTGGACTGTTGCTGACTCACTTTACATGAATGATAAAAATGTATTAGAACAGCAAAGTTGTGGCTGAAAAGCTCAGAGAAAAGAAGTTCAAATCCATAACAATCCAATTGATTCAAAGAGTGACTCTGCAGACAGACCGGAGGAGCGCAGCAGCAGCATAAACAGAAGTCAAACCTGAGCTAGTCTGACTTTGTTTAGTAGGATCTTGTTATAGTATGACTTTGTTTTATGCTTTGGTTTCATCAGCAGTTTGAATACGCTAATTTACTCTGTGATCAGAGTTTTATTACAGAACAATCCACTAAATGAAAATATATCTGCTCTTGTATTTGCTGGTGTTCTGTCCACAGACAAACCAGCTGCTAATGTGGCTCCTTATTGCCCATTCACACTGTTTATCATGACTTTTCATATGACATACGTGTAGGGAAATACAATCTTCAAATCTTCAATCTTCTAATGAAAGTACAAGTAAAGTACAAGTAAAATTTCTGTTTTTCAAGTCTGTTTTTTATAATTAACCTCAGAACAGCTGTTTCCATTGGTCAAAACCAAGTCCCTAAGGACAGAGTCAGGAAACACTAGAGAGACCACAAATCACCCCTCTGAAAACATTCCTCAGTAAACACCAGACAAAACACTTCTGTCCTAATGGGAACAGAGAAGCTTTATTATGCTTTGAGAAGCTACACCTCTGCTGTATTCGACAGGCAGTCTCTTATGATGACAACCTTTTCATCCTATTGATTTAATAAAGAAAGTGATGTATTAAACTGCGTGAGCAGAAAAGACAAAAACAACCAGGCTCAGACCCATGAGGAAGAGGAAGCTGAGGAGAAAGCTACAGAGTCAGCCAAGTCACTTAGACAGGATTAATTATTCATCACGTTTCTATCTACAGCAGGAAGAGACCTCACACACACACACACACACATACACTTAGGTACAGTGCAGTCTCTTGTTTCAAATCAGAGCAGAAGTAGCCTAAGCTGCACTCTGGCACAGCAGTGTGATCAAATATGAGCCATCAGCTGGTTTTAAAGGGCCATGTCAGTGTTTTTCCATGTTTACCACAAATCTTCTATCTTTCTTTACACATTCATTTCGCTGTGTTTATGAAAGTCACATTGCAGGAATTTCGCAGGTCCATGACGTAGTAATCCATCATGCTCTGAGCCTCTCTTCTGATTGGCTGACTGTTTTCTGAGTGATCCAATAAAAATATAGCAGATTTCAGGTAAACACTCAGAGAAACTAAATCCTGCTAGGTTGGATGTTGGTTGGTCCAGGTGGGCGGGGCTTGGGGCACAGGTGAGAGTGGTGACTGCTTTGTTGTGACATCACAAAGTTACAGAAGTCCTGACGGCTGGTTTTAAGGCTCAGTTTCTGAATACAGGCTGTGTGCATTTCTCTGTGGACTGAGGCGTTTGATACTTTCACAGTATTAATATAGAACCTAGACCTGATTTATAATCAAACAACACATGGACATCTACCTTTAGACTATATGGGACTTTTCAAAACATGTAAAAAACATCAGGCCACTATGACTGGTGCCAATTTGAGATTTGTAATTTCTTAAAATGTCTTAAATGACTTGTATATTGTACCTTTTCCTGACAAAAACGTCAAGTGGCTGCATGAACATTGTTTTACTGTTTGGGGCACTGAATCAAACAAGACAAGGAGTCTGCCATGATGCAGCTTTGGAGACTGTGCAGAGTTTTGTAGCTAATTTCAACAAGCTAACATGATCCCAACATGCTGAGGTAAAAGTCAACCAGTCATATTTACTACAACTGAACCTGAGGGGAACATGAAACATTCAACAGTGACTATATCAACCTGCTGGAGGCACAAAAGGGGGGTCAGGGGATGATGGGGACCATGACAGTCTATGGTAGAATTTGTGCCAGTCATCTATGGATCAAACTGGCTTGGCAAGAAACGCTGCCATCCCATTGTCCTGTATTCATTGTTTTGTTTTTCTCTGTCTTGTTAATGTTCTGTCTTTTGTGTTGCAATAAATTAAAAAATTAAAAAAAGACATTGTCATCCCTAGAGACCCACAATGGTCATTTGGATGACAAGCTTTAGAGGTGACAAGGTTTGGAGGACTTGTCGGCCAATTCTGTTACTGTTTAGAGGTCAATCAACATAATCCTTTCTTATTGTGTCATTCTTCACAATTTTTACTCTTTTTGAAAGAAAACAACACAATGAATTATTTGCTTTTTAACATCAGAATGAGGGGTTTTATGGGGGCATGTTTACAGCCCTGACAGATGTACCGTCTGCGTGACTTTACAGTCATTATTATAGAAGAAGCTTTGCCATAGCTCATTTATGGAGGACAGTAAAGACACAAAGACCGAAACCCAGCTGTTCCTCCTCTAAATGTTTGATGGGAAGTCCCTGTTACACAGCGAATGAGTCAACAGTAACAGCAACAACACAACAGAAGTCCTTGTCCCACGGTACAAATGCTCATGCTGTTAAATGGAGTATACATATCGCAAGCAAAAGAATGAAATATGAGAAGTGTGTTTGTGTTTGTGTGTGTGCATTGATTACATAATGCTGTTAGCAAGCAATCCCTGCTGAATAGGAGCTTTCGTGCTTCCTGCTTGTTATTAATAGATTCATGTTCTCATTTACTTTGCACCTTGTTAAGGACTCTAGATTCACTGTCCTCGATATATTTGTCATCTACTATGTTTTTTTTTTCTCTGCGTGAGTCACACAGAGCTGTGGATCTACTATTGGAGCGAAAGTTCTGATGTCTGATCTGCTCATACTCTAAACAGTACATTATCTACTCTGCTCAGTCTGGAAGTTAAAAACAAGACTTACAAATACATTGCACAAGATAAACTGCATTTTATCTGAGAATTACACATATATAAACCACCATAAGAATTTTAAATATCTGGTTGTGTCCAAAATCTTAAAATAAATCATATCTCAGGGTAATTTCAGTGCTGAGACTCCATCAAATAATAATTTTCTCCTTTATAATTTAAGATCTGCACATTACATACAGAGCTCACTACAGCTTCAATCCTGACCAAGTCAAATACAACACAAGCAACTCAAACTACATTGAAAATAACTTACCAGAACAGAGTCAAATTGAAGTTTACATCCAGTCGATGGTGTCCTGAGCTCACACAAATCTGTCTTCAAATTAATTCATATCCTTGAAACATAACTCTGTATATATAAAGAGCACCAACGCACAGAGACGGGACTAAGAGATTAGAGCTGGAGAGGGTAGCGCTGCCTCTCTCTCCCTCCTCTTTTCTCTGCAGCACTCCTCCCTGCTGCCACCCACCCACCACACGCACAATGGTTCAGTCCACCTCTGTACTGCGGTACTCCCTAGAACGTTCCATTTGGCTGACTGGTGGGGAGATATGGGTTCGGAGTGGGGGTAGGGGTGAGCGTGGAGAGGGAGAGAGCATATGGGTGCCTGGTGGGAGGGAGGGGCGGGGTGAATGGAAGGAGGCAGGGAGGGATTGGTAGATGAGGATGTGGTGTAGGGGAGTGACAGATGTGTTGACTTAGAGAGTGGAGATGCTTGATGAGATACTTTCTCCACACTGATGATGAAGTCCTGCAGCTTCACACAGATACTGTGTAAGATAAGCATTCTTTATCTCTCACCACCTTCTTTCTTTCATATTGGAAGGAACTATTGTTTTAAGTATTGCTATTGCAACGTAGCCAGCGTTAGCATGAACAGCTCTTTACTTACCAGTCTAGAAGAAACGCTGTGAGTTCAGCATCAAACTTCATTCCTTTACTCGCTAAGAGTTGTCTCGAGTGATGGAAAGCATCACCAGTGTTAACTATTGTCTCTATCACATCTTTTCTTCTACTGAAGTTAGCATGCTAACTAGCTAGCTCTGCCCTAGCAAGCCCTGTCTCGTCACTTTCCAATACCGAGTCACAGTAGCGTCCAGGTTGCCCTGAAGAAGTAGCGCTGCTCAGAGGACGTATTATGTATATAATGCTAATGTTGGGTATGTAGCACTAGCAAAACTTGCTATTAGCCCCTTTAAATGTAAATGTGAGTCTATAAGCAAAGAATGAGTGGGCTTTTATTGCATATTTAGGTCTTATTGTGAATGCCACTACTTTTTCTACTAATACTTTTCCTATTGACCTTGTGTGTTTCAGCAATAAGGAAGTGCTCAGACTCCGTCGTTTTGTCTCTTCCAGTCAAAGCCAGAAGAGAGAATGTGTTGGGTTGTGTAGGCGGACATCTGGTATATGTTACTATGCTGCACTTGCAGTTCAGCAGATACCTGACCAGCTTTACAAAATAACGTAAGACGTAAAGGACTGCCAAATTTGGAAGAAAATGACACATTGATCACAACCTACATAGGGCTGGAATCCTGAAGTATTAATCCTGGAATCACCAAGTCATATCACTGATGTAATAAAGTCATGGTGAATGGTCAGACTGTGTTGGTATTTGTGGCCATTGAAGATGTGTGTTAATGCAATACATCTTAATCCAAAACAGAGACTACAGATTGGACATTGGTTTTAGGCTTTTTATTCTTTTCCACTGGACAGTCCAGTTTTCCATGATATGAGCTTATTACTGTGTAATGAGCTGATATAGGTTGCATCAGCATCTATATAACTTGAAGCTGTAATTCAGTGTGTTTTTGTGTGTGTATGTTTACTATATTCATCGGGTCCCAAAACTGAGAGCTCACTACACTTGTGGAGTCCGACAACATTGAAGATCCAAAATGCTGGACCCCACAAGTTTAAACGGCTGTTAGAGGGTTAAGACTTATTCAGTATTGCGTGTGTGTGTGTGTGTGTGTGTGTGTGTGTGTGTGTGTGTGTGGTACACAATAGGTGCTCCGAAGGCGCTCCATATGGAGCACCTATTGTGTGCTCATTAGTGTGTTCCAGCTGGGAGGGAAGCACCTTCATCGTGCACACACACACACACACACAAGCACACAGATGTTCCCTGGTGTTTCTGGTGTTGACTTTCTCCACAGGCCAAAAGAGGAAAATGAAGAAGTATTAATAGTATCATGTTTATTAATTATTGTTTGTGAGGATCATAAACCGTCAGCACTCACCATCAGCAGAGGGAACATGAAATCCCCTTTCTTTTACCAAACAGACAAAACAACTCTAATGACATTCTACAGTAGTTGTGAAAAACTTTCTGCCTACAACAAAATTACTTCAATTATTTATGATTTAATTAATTATTATCATTATTAAAACTTTTTGGCTAACACTAAAATAACTTTCAGTTTCAGCCTGTTCCTGTACGGCATTATGTTGGCTTGTTAAATCTGTTTATTTGCTGGCTCAAATTGTATAAAACATGATGCTAGAATCCTGTTATATTTATTGCTAACTCAAAATTACCATACATTTGTAATCAAATTGCCCAAAACTGTAAATTGGTAAAACTTAACACACCCTCCACAGCCGGATTATTGAACACAAATGCACATTAACAGATGAATCAAAGCCCCTCGCGTACATTTCATCCAATCCATTAATCTGTAAACTTCAAGTTCCACCTCCCATTTTTTTCTTCTTTACTTTGTCCCAGTTTTCTTTTGTTTAAAGTCAATAACCCTTACACCTCTCTGCTCTCTGCTAACAGAGGAGAATGAGTCACCGACCTGATGAGCAGATATATCAAAGTTCTCCCTCAATAATGAAAGCAACCCCTTTGAGTCATGTCAGACACATGTGCAGATGGAATTTACAACTAAATGTCCCGGCAGAGAAAAAGATCTTTGCTTGAATGTGGCATTTTGTGCTTCAGGTGGCCAGCTACATCAAGCCAGACAATGAAGGGACTTATCTTCAACCCAGGTAGTAAGCTACATGTTACTGAAAAGTAGCAGAATGTTTTTCTGTTTTTTTTTTCTCCCAAATAGGATGGAAAAAACATGAGAAATTATGACAGCAAAGTTGTTTTAATGAAATAATGATTGTATAATCTACTTCAGGCCTGTTCACACCTTTGACTGTGACAAGACTCTGAACTTTGGCTGCCCAGTCGAACTGTTACAGATTTATATTTTGCAGAGTCAAGCCTAAGGTAAAAAGCACCATTGCAATTGGCAGAGTGGGCTTGGGATACTTACCTAAGACCCAGGTTGGCAAGGCTCAGGGCAAGGAGAGACGACATCTAATCCAGGAAGAGATCCGAGCAGGCGTGGAGGATGAGTGAGTGAGCAGGGCGGTAGGGTTCAGGCAGCAGGATGTGTGGACAAAGTGGGAAAGTTTATCAGAGTGCACGAGTACCTGGTCCAACATCATGCAGGCAGACTTCTACCGCATCCGGTTCCTTGTTCAAGCTGTCTATGATGCCCTACCAAGCCCAGCAAACCTTCATGCCGGGGGCAAAAGAGAGACCTTCCAAACTGCCACCGCACATCAAATCAACATCACTCCGGCCAGACATGATCATCACCTCTGAATTGACCAAACAACTGATCATGCTAGTACTAGCAGTGTCCTGGTAAGGGCATATCGAAGAAGCCAATGAGAAGAAATGAGAAGTGCCAGGACAGAGGCCGGAGGGCACACTATGAGCCGATAGGTGTGGGCTGTAGGGGCTTTGCAGGACGCTCACTCTACAAAGTCTTCAACCTATTGGGCATTTCAGGGGCAACGAAGAACAGAGCCATCAAATCCACAAATGAATCCTCAGAGAAAGCCACAAGGTGGCTTTAGATCAAGAGGACTGATGCGTGTGCAGTGGCTGCTGGGACTAAAGTCAAGGCCTGACCAACCCCGACTGGGTCGCTTGGGTCACTGATGTTTCATCCCAGTGCGTCCAGAAGATGCATCTTGCACATATTTTATATTTCAATGTCCTGTTTTATGGTCTGGTCTTTTCTATAACTGTTGTTTTCTCTTTATCCCTGAATGTTAGAGGAATAGAAAAAATGTTGAGCATAAGGCTTTATTTCTTTTTTTTTAAGGAGCAAGTGAAAAGCTTTTCCTCAGGAGACCTATTCCACTGACTCAAAGGTAAAGGTTTGTAAACTCATTGGGTTGGAGGGGTTTATTTTTGTCATAGTTCATCATATTCAACCACTCAATCACAATCACTGGAGTGAAATAAGCCATTTGCTGATTGTGTCAGGCGGTCAACCAGGCAGTCAGCTTGAGAAGCAGGAAACACACTTCACAGTTAACAACCTGACATCAGTGTCGTGTCACTTTGTATAGGGCCACATCCATTCTGTCATTGCAGGTGTATTGAACAGATTATATTAGTGAACAGATGATATTAGTGAGGCCAACAACACGGGTTCAACCAACACAGAGTCAACACCAGGTTTTGACCTAAAAGGATTCTTTATTATATAAATCACACACTGGCTAAATTAATCTGTATTAATCTACTGTATGAAATATACTGTAGTTGTTTCAACAAACTTAAAATTTTTGATTTTATTTAGGTTTTTGCTGAAAAAGGTATAAATTAAAAAAATTACCAGCTAGCAAAAAAAGCACATCATCCATTTTACCTTTGAAAATGTAAAGCTATCCTCTATTCAATGAAGCTTATCAGGTTGTAATGTGGTGATGATACAGGCAAAAACAAAACACCAAATCTTGGATGGGTATGGGCTCAAAATACTTATGACAGAGACACCATTGATCACTGTGTGCCGTTTAAATATTCAGTTTGCTGAAGGCGTGTTGTTCTTTTGCAAGGAAGCATTTTTACCCTAATATTAAACATCTTACGGCGCAGAGCAAAAGAATCCTATAGCCTACTGTAGCCTACTGTCTGTGCTTTCACCAGGACACTGTTTTCCAACATGAACCTGGGGTCTACAGTGACAAAGGTCTGTCCCTCCCTGTTTGGTCAGAGACCACCCCCTCAGACATATGCACATGGTTTGGACCACTTGGCCTTAATCCCCTTCACTCCCATCACCAGTTGGATTGGCAGGTGGGTTTGGTTTGATCTGCAGTCAGTAATATATGACAATAAATGTCCACAAACAAACAAACACACACACACATGCGGGGGATGAGAAACCTCCTTAATCCCAGTGGCATACTTTGGCAGTGCAGCACAAAGCTGATGGCAGAGGATTACATCGGGCCGACTGTGTCAGACAGTCAACGAGGCATTCAGCTCGAGGAGCAGGAAACACACTTCACAGTCACGAGGAGTCCACACTGTTCTACACAACATATCGCAGGGTGGCAAAGATAGTGACATGTTAT